GGGGGAGGGTCTTGTTCAGGCTGCCCATGCTGAATGATCTTGGCGGCCCGCTGGCGTAGAGCAGCAGAAGCGGTAGCTTCAGCATCCACCTCCGTAGGCTGCGCTGCTGCTGCCGCAGGACCAGTGGCAGAATCGGCTGCGGCTGCCTCAGCACCACCACCTCCGTCATCGCCAGGAGCTGCACCTTCGTCCGTCTTCCTCTTCTTGGCCAGGCGTCCAAGATGCTCTTTGTGTGCCTCCTGGATCTTCTTGGCAGTCTCGGAGGCCTGCGCGAAAAGACGCTGTGCCAACTTTTGGATGCCCTCTCGCAGCTGGTTGCCCCTCTTCTCGAGCTCCTCCTTGTCGGCCTCCGAGAGCTCGAAATCCTCGACGCCACCGAGCAGCTCCGAAGGGTCGATGGCCAGCTTATCGGTGAAGGACCCGTCCATGATCGAAGACAGCGAACATGGCACGGCTTTGTCAACTGGCTCCGTCTGCAAGTCAGCCGCTGACGTCTGAGCATGTAGGGCGGCCACAAGTCGACGATGCTCAGCGTCGGCCTGCTCGCACTCCTCAGTGAACTTGGTGACCAACGCACGCTGCTCCACCATCTGCGCCGACCACTCCTCGTACCTCTGAACAGCGCCCTGCAACTTCCGCTCGAGGCCGCGCAGCTTGCTGTGGGCCATGGAGACCTGGTGCTGCAGGGTGGGCTCCTTGACCGCAGGTGGAGGCTTGGCCAGCTCACGATGCTTGGCCGCTCCCAGCGCGTCGCCAGACTTGGCCAGCAACTCCGCCAAAGACGCGTGCTCTTCCCGAGAGAGAAGGGACTCTGGCTTGACTGGACCGCCTGGTGACTTGCCACCTTTGCCTCCACCATTGTCGCCGAGCGCGAAGGTGCCTGGAGGCCCTTGAGCAGCAGCAAAAGGGGAGAACGGCAGGCTGCCACTGAAGCCAGCTGACCAGACTCCACCAGGCGTGCCGAAGGAGGAGGGCGTGCATGGCTGGAACGGGGTCCACTGAGAGCCGCAATGCTTGCAGCGAGACCAGCGCATCTCGTTCTTCCTGCAGCCGCAAGCCGAGCATGTCCAGAGGGCTGGAGGAGCATCTTGTTGCAGCCCAGGAATGCGTGCAGCCCAAGGAGGAGGAGGAGAGCCGCCACCGTCGAACAACGCGATCTCCCGCTCGAGGGCGGCCGCCGAAGGGAAGCTCTTGCCACCCTTGCCGCCCTTGTCTCCCTGACCTCCAGGGCCACGCTTGCCATGGCCGCCCTTCCCCATGGCGGCGAAATGATTATGAACGTGTGAGGGAACGGCCCTCTCCGAAGCTGAATGACTCGCAGGCGCGAAGTGCCGTTTTGAATCCTGCACCTGCAACGCTCAATGGCTTGAGCGCAAAACGGCTATCACCGACGCGAGGACATCGTCATCGTTACCAGCGGGCGTGATCAACGTCGGCGCCGTCATTGGCCTTGCCGTCGTCATCGCCACCATCGTCACCATCATCGTTACTCTCGTAATCGTGTCTACCGTTGTCGGCGTCGCCATGGTACCGTGCCCGCCCGAATCACCGACTCGCACTGAAGTGCCTGCTGGGAAGTGCCCAGCGACCAGCGCCACCGCGGCCGCGTCGGTCGCGCCAAACTAGCTGGCCGCCGCGCGCGCGAGCACACGCGGGCTAACGCGGCCGCTGAGATGCACCAGCCAACGCCAAGCACTCATCGCAATCGCCGCCGCAGGGGTTTAGCAAACCAAGTTGCGAGTGGGTGGGTTGGCATGTTTGCAAGGGCGTGGAATGTGTCAACGCGTTTGTAAAACAAAAAAAAAACGATTGTACCGCAAGGGCTGCCCAACACATATTGCACTGCGTAGATTGCACCGCGCTGGTGCGCCACATGGGTTGCACCACGCAACGTGCACAATCAATCCATATTGCGCCACATATACGGCACCACGTAGAAAACACATAATCGATCGCACCACGTCTGTTCTCCTTGTTCAGATCGACCCCGCGGAATTATCACCCTGCCCGGGGGATGTGCAACCTGCATTTGATTATGCCCACCGTTCGTTTTAAATGTGAACTCGTACCATCCCAACCCGGCCAGATTCGACCCCTCCCCCACCATCCTCTGCAGAAAAAAACAATGCGCGCCACCTCGTTAATCACGGAAGGCAGCAAAGGGGACGAAATGCACGCGCGTGCGTCGTCGCGCGCATGCCGGAATCCTTACAACACCTTAGGTTTCGCAGGGCTTTCTAAATTAACTGTTCCGAACACGAATAAGCAACACATGGCTTTGCAACATCAGGTTTCCACCTAAAAAAATGCGCGTGCGCTCTTGCGCGTTCTTTAGGAAACGTCGGATTTTCAACATGTTCATTAAAGACCGACCTAACGGGCCCCTCGCGCGCGCATGTCGAACTCATTCGGACGCCCTTGGGGGCGATCCCTGCCTTTGTCGACGTCGCCTTGATACCGCGCCCGCCCGAGTCACCGACTCGCACTGGAGTGCCCGCGTGTCAGCGCGGCCTGTGAGGCACGCTTGGGAGCCCCCAGCGGTCAGCGCTACTGCGGCCGCGTTGGTCGCGCCAGACTGGCTGGCCGTTCTGTGCGTGAGCCTGCGCGCGCTAGCGCGTCCGCAGCGATGCACCAGTCAGCGCCAGGCAGACATAACATTGCAAACTAAGCTGCGGGTGGGCGGGAGGGTGGGTGGGGCGACTTCGCGAGCAGTGGACTGGACTGGACTGGATGCGGCCTGTGTGAGCACAAGCCTCCTACCGCTGCTTCACTAAAGGCTCTGCTCTGAAGAACATGTTCAACAAGTAGAAGTAGAAACAGTACACCACATGACAGAATTATAATTCAAACCACCTTGATGCATATGACGTATACATTCAGAGATTCCCAGAATTGGCTATTTTCTGCTTGTGCCCCATGATGTGCGTGATCCAAGAAGAACGGTGCGCCTGCCAGGCGTCGCGGCCCAAAGCCGTGTCCTTCCGGGGCATCTCTTGCGCAGCAAAATAAGCGTCGTACTGCCTTTCCCAACGCCAAGGAGCGAACCTCCCCGGATGGCCCTGATGACCAATCGTAGCTGTCATGATACGCTTCCACTCTGAATCCCTATGCCTGATGACGGCACCGACCAAATGCCCCAGGTCCTGGCTGATGGCCTGGATGAGGTGGCCCGTGTAGTCGTACATCCTGCTCAAGACGAAAACGTCGATGTCAGCCAACCCTGCCGTGGCCATCCTCTCCCGGAGGATGCGGTTGGAGCGGCGGTGTTACGCCTCGTCGGTGTCGCGCCACAGTCGGAGCGCCCGCAGGGCAGGCTTTGCCGACCTCGTGAAAGCTGCTTTCAGGCAAGACAGTTCGCGCTGGTTTATAGTCCACGCTCCCACGCACCAGGAATAACTCGAGGTTGCCACCATGTACATCAGTGTCACTTTCTTAACCCGCGATACTCTCGGGCAATTCCACAGCGAGCGTTGCTTCCATGGCCGAACAACTTCCGTGACGCTTGCCGGTGATGTCGGCGTGACAAGTGCCTGATGCATTGATCGTGGAACCCAAGGCCTTGAAGGACGTGCGTGGTGGCTTTTCCGAGTAATCCTTGAGTTGCGTTGACAGCTCGGCCCCGACGTGGCTGTTCGTCTGGTAAGCGAGGCGGTCATCAGGGAGACGCCAACCACCCATGTCGCGGGCATTTTGCAATCTCGAATGGATCTCAAGGAACTCGCCGGCGCTGTGTGCAAAAATGAAGATATTGACACAGAACAACACAAAGGGGATGTATTGGTCATCCAGCCGGTAGCCCAAGTTGTCACGACGGCACGACTGCCACACTGGCTCGAGGCAGTAATGAAGTACAGGTGCGCATAATGCCGGGCCGTATCTGGATCCCTGTGGGATCCCCCTGCTAATGTGAATGGGTGTCACGTCAACTCCGCCCAGCGGAAGATGGAGTAAGGAGCTGCGTGTTTCACGAACGAACCACGCCGCAATGGCGCGATCTACGCCCTTCTGCAAGAGCGCCTCGAGCAGGAAAGAATGGCCGACTTCGTCGAAACACTTGGGTATGTCGGTAATTCACTGCGAACGCACACATACTGCGAACGCACATTCGCGAGCAGTGGGGCTGATAATTCACTGCGAACGCACACATACATGGCATCACTTAGACTGCACTGCGTAGCCTGCACAACATACATTGAGATGTCAAACTTCTGACGCATGGATTGTACAACATCTAGTCCACCACATCGAGTGCACAAACTACATGGCACCCTATATATATATATATACATATATATATATATATATATTGCACACTATAGGTTGCACCACGTGGATGCGCAGCATAGGTTGCAAGAAACACACCGTTTGGGGCCCACGCCGGCTGACAGTACAGTAGACAAGAAATGCGGATGGATGAGAATCACCATGATGATGATGATGATGATGATGATGATGATGATGATGATGATGATGATGATGATGCTGATGCTGATGCTGATGATGATGATGATGATGATGCTGATGCTGATGATGATGAGGAGGAGGAGGAGGAGGAGCATGAGAGGAGGAGGAGGAGGAGCATGAGGACAGGAAGGAGGAGGAGGAGGAGGAGGATGAGGGAGGAGGAGGCAGGATGTGGAGGATGGGGAGGAGGATGAGCAGGCGGAGGAGGAGGAAGGGAAGAGGAAGAGGAGAGGATTAGGAGGAGGAAGGGAGGAGAGGAGGTTAGGGAGGAGAGGAGGAGGCAGGAGAAGGAGAAGGAGGAGAAGAAGAGAAGAGGGAGGAGGAGGAGAAGAAAGAAGGAGAGGAAAGGAGGAAGAGAGGAAGAGGAAAGGAGGAGAGGAGGGTGTAGGAGGATAAGGAAGGAGTGAAAGAAGGAGGAGCGGAGGAGGAGGAGAAGAAGGGAAGAGGAGAGGAGGAGGCGGAGAAAGAGGAGGACGACAATGAGGGAGGAGGAGGCGTGAGGGAGGAGGAGGAGGAGGAGGAGGAGGAGGCGGCAC